TTAACAATTAGATTTTTCATCCTCTATTTAGCAGACATCGCTTTGCCTCCTTGTGTGTGGTAAAAACCACATTTTTGAAAAGAATCCCTAAATTAATTGATCTCCCATTTTTCTCGTAACACTTTTGTGTAATTATATTATGGAAACCTCTAGATTATTTTGATAAAGTTTATGTGGTTTATAATTTTAATAGATTTTCATTACTTTTTTTTGTTAATATGTTGTTAATTATTCACTAGTCCCACTTCATCCCATACTAGTCCCACTTCATCCCATACTTGTACCACTTCATCCCATACTTGTACCACTTCATTCCATACTTGTACCACTTCATTCCATACTTGAACCACTTCATCCCATACTTGTACCACTTCATCCCATACTTGAACCACTTCATCCCATACTAGTCCCACTTCATCCCATACTTGAACCACTTCATCCCATACTTGAACCACTTCATCCCATACTTGTACCACTTCATCCCATACTTGAACCACTTCATCCCATACTTGTCCCACTTCATCCCATACTTGAACCACTTCATCCCATACTTGAACCACTTCATCCCATACTTGTACCACTTCATCCCATACTTGAACCACTTCATCCCATACTTGTCCCACTTCATCCCATACTTGAACCACTTCATCCCATACTTGAACCACTTCATCCCATACTTGTACCACTTCATCCCATACTTGAACCACTTCATCCCATACTTGTACCACTTCATCCCATACTTGAACCACTTCATCCCATACTTGAACCACTTCATCCCATATTAGTCCCACTTCATCCCATACTTGAACCACTTCATCCCATACTTGTACCACTTCATCCCATACTTGTACCAATAATAACTGTTTGTTTTTGTGAGAGTTGTTCTTTTGAAAAAGATGAAAAAAAATGATTGATTTGCAGATATTTCAGCTGCATAAGAGGATGAAAACGATAAAGTAGAATGAGGCTTGACTTGGAACCATCAAGAGGAATAAAATCTCCCATTCCTGCCTGAATCCAAAAGGTTATATAGGAGGCACATTTTTTAGCTGAGAGGGAAAAGACATCAGCCCAAGGACTGTCACAAAGAAAATCACAAAAAAGAATCCTAGTCAGCTTTAGGGTAGTAGTACGTAGTGGGATGATAGGGTGATTCATAAAAAAAAGGACAAGATGAAAAGGTTATAGAGATCATTGCATGGTCAGAGCTTCCTAAGAAAGAAAAGGGAGAAACTGAATACAAGCTACTGTCAGAGACAAAACATAAATCAAGGACTGAAGATAAGTGATTAGGATTGTCAAGAAAATAAGTCACAAAGTTAACTATATGAGTAAGAGATTGAGAAATGCAGAAATTATAGGCTTTAGTGTCAGCAGGGTCAGTGGCGTTAGAGCCAAGCCATTCAGTGTAATGAGCATTGAAGTCACCAATAACAACAATATTGGCAGAGGAGTAAAGAGAGAGTGCATGGTTTTATCAGAAATTACATCTAAAAAAATCTTGGGAAGTAGGAGAGCGATAAAGAACAAAGAGAAAGGTGATAGAGTGAAGAGGTGCTATGCGGAAACACATAGAAGAATGGTCAAAGGATTTGAACCTGATTTCACAACAAATAGTTGAATTGATGCATATGTATACCCCCAGGCTAAGCATTTGACTATTGGAATCTTTGCAAATCAAAGCATAGTACCTATCAGCACTGAGATCAGAAGAAAGAATAGCAGAATTTTAATTAGTCTCACTAAGAGCAAGCAAGTCTGGCGAATTTTGTAATAGGTAAAATTCAATTGATGGAAGGTTGCTTTGCAGACCACGAATATTTGTAAAAGATATATTAAAACAGTTAGGTGGTGGGGATGGTTTTTTATGTTTAATATCTTGGGTTACTTTTGGCATTATTTAAGTTTAAAAAAAACATGACTCATTCATAGAGTATGGCCTCTTAAGCAATGAGCATTTTTCTCAGTCCTGTTAATTAACACTTAAGTTATTCATGCGCAACATGGCACTGTTAATACTCTGAGATTTTGCAGCTATTGATAGAATCAGCCTCTCTGAAAGCAACCACAAAGTTCAGGAAACCCTACTACCAGCCGGCCTCAGAACCATAAAATAGGAAGAGTTACATAGCCACTATCAAGCAGGCACAAGCAAAAACCTATGGTAAGAGTCAAGAAGATCTAACATTCATCATCCTAGGCAGGAAACAATGTTACACAAGTTTACATCTACGCCAGCCTAAGAGACGAAGAACGGCTTTGAGGTTGGGTGTCAGACTTACCTTAAAATCTTTGCCTAGGAGGCTTCTACAAGACAATAGCTGGATGCAGTTAACATATGCCCAAGATGAGTATTTTTATCGAGACATCAGGCTTGGACAGGAATGGTGTGCGATTGCATTCTGTAACTGACCACGCTAATATTTTTATTTCTTTACAACTTGAACAGCTATTTTGATGTTTTAACAATTTGAATGCAATAAAAAAAAGTGTTACGTTATAAATATCTTTTAATCATTGATCTTTTCTAAAGTTTTTTATTTTACGCAAAGGCTTTAAATAAAACCATAAAATTAGCTATAGTTATAGTTTACGTAAACGCTTGTGTAAATTAATAAAAAACGTTATAAATAAGTTTTTTTATGTAGGCATTTATTTTTTATGATAAATATAAACGTTTGAAACTATTTTCTTATGTCTTCCTAAAACATTTTAAACCATTATTTTTAGAAAGAATTTAAGTTACTTTAATTTGTGAATAAGTTCAAAAGCTTTTGTGACTACTAACTTTTACACATTTTATGTGAATTACACAAGAATATAAAATAACTTTATTTACTTATATAAGCATGTATTTTATTGATTTAATGAAAAAGTTTTAAAGCATTTTGTAATGTTCATACAATTAATTTTTATGATTAAACTTACGTTTTTTTTAAATGTTTTAAAATGTTTTAACATTTTATTTTTTGTAAACAATTTTTTTTTTCAATTTCGTTAGAAATGAATGAGAGATTAAATCTTTTATAATAATTTTTAGGCGCTTATTAATAAAGTTGTAATGCTCAAATTAAAATTAAATTAAAAAGCTTGTTGGCAGTTTATTTTATTTAAATCGCAGACGCATTTTATTTATTTATTTATTTTTTCTACTTTTACGAATAAAAAAGTTCAAAACCTTTTTTTTAATTAGACTCGCTAATTAGAGCATGAAATTAGTAAAAATTACTATTTTAAAAAGACCATGTTATTTTTTTAAACAATTTTTTTTTTGCAACTTTTTTGACAAAATAAATGTTTATACAATTTAAAAATATTATATAAAACACTTTTTAACAAATTTAATAAAATTTGTTCTTTTATTAAACCAATCATTAATAGTAAATTTGTTACTTAATTTAAAAATGTTTTGCTTAACTTTAATAACGCTTAAAAAGATAAGCTTTAATAACGTTTATTTCATACGTAATTGTAATTAAAAACATAACAAAAAGTTTTGATTTGAGTTTTTATTTTCATTTTAGTGCTTATATAATTCTTTTTCGTTATGAATTTGTTTTTCATTTCCTTTTTTTGTTAGGAATTTTTTTTCGTTAGTTTTTTTTTTAAGTTTTTTCCCTAGTTTAATTTTAGCTTAGCGTTTCTACATTCAGAACATTTCTGAAATTTTTAACTCATCAAAACATATAAACATTGTTTATTAAACAATTGTGGTCAAGTTGTCAAAAAATAAAATCATTTGCGTGGTCAGCAATAGCGCTCGATCGCACGCCATTCCTGTCTAAGCCTGAGACATCATCTCTAGCCTTTACCCAACCAAGAGCCCCAAGGCAGGGGATTGATACCCAAACAAGAACCAAGGCAGGGGATTTTTAAGTTGGAGTTTGTTTCTCCTAGCCTTTGCCTAAATAAGCACACTCTAAAAGGCAGCAGGGCATGGGGCAGGTAGTACTGGGTTACATAATATCAGTAGTAGGGTAATCATGATGATCCTGAACCTGAACTGGAGTAATTAAAAGGAGCTACTTTCTGCAAACAACCTAAAATATTGAGCATAATATTTTGGAAATGCATTAGGAAAAATATTACATTTAACAAAGTACTAGAGATAAGGGCAAGATCAGGTTTTCTAGTTGGAGTGTCTAGTTAGTTAATGAGCTCTGCATCAAAACAGATTTAAACATTTAAACAGAACACATACATATATAAAGTAACTTACAGGTGAACCAACATTGCCTTAGAGGTTCAGACAAAACACAAACATACAGATATATATATATATATATATATATATATATATATATATATATATATATATATATATATATATATATATATATATATATATATATATATATATATATATATATTACTACTTTATATATATATATATATATAAAGTAGTAGTAGACTACTGATAATTTTTTGAAAGGCCTCTAGTGCTAAAAAATATTAAACTTAAATTTAGTGTATCTTAATAGTAACAATGAAAGAAATAAATATTTTATATGCAGTGTTTATTTGTTTGACCACTACTTTATTTATATTGGTTTCATTTTCACATTATTTCATTTTCACATTATATTGGTTTCATTTACACATTTCAAATTATATAATATAAGTTTTAATCGATTATTGTTGATTTTACTGTTTTTTTTTAAAAAGAAGCAAGTTGTATTGATTAAGGAATCAAAGTTTAGGAATCCTGTTGCCATGATTTGAAGGGACAAAATGGTTTCTTAACAAAACTGAATTTTTTTTCAATAAACTTGCAATCAATTAAGTTAATTTATAGTTAAAAGTTTAGTAGGGTTATCTGTTTGTATTAATCATAAATGTTTTCATAGTTAAACCATATTCAGTTAAAAATATTGTTCATTAGGTGTTTTTTTCAATTTTTCCAATTTTGACAACTCTTCCCGATATACCCACACACATGCATAATAATAAATTTGTGTATATGAAGTGACGTAAATGTATTTAGATTTAATTTTTCTTAGTTTGGCAACTCCAAAAGTTCAGTTTGTTAAAGAAATATTGTTAATTAATAACACTCTTCATCGAAAAATGATATACCTTTGCGCTTCTGATGCAATTCTTTTTGGTCCTCCAAAAGGTAAATTTTTAAAAGTAATTTTTTTATTATTTTTTTTTTTTTTATTCAATCAAAAATTACAAATTTTTTATAATTTTACAAAATTAGGTTCCGTGTCACTCACATAGTTAAAAACTAGGGAGTGACATCCTAAATTTGAAAAAAAAAATCAGCAGCAATATTAATAAGTAAAAGCAACCTTATTATACTTTGTAGTAGTTTTATAAAGTTGTTTGATTAAAAAAATAAAGTGTTTTAAATGGTTTTTCAAAAAGATTAACTTTATTACTTTGGCTTTATCTTTTATCTTAATTATAAATAATAATTAATTATAATTTATTACAGTTGTTTCATGTATGTATATATTTATTAAGGTTCCAACAACCAAACAGAATTAATTTAAAAATTTTTAGTTTTTTAAAATAAATATACAATTTTGTCATCATTGTTTTAATTTTAAGTTTTTTGTGATTGGTTAATTGTTCTTATAAATGGCATCTTCATTTCCCATTTTACCTTGCCAAGAGCATAAGTACAAATTTTTGAATTTTAGTTTTCTTATCTGTTTAAATAACACTAAACATTTATCTGATTGTCATCTTTTTACTTTAGAGATAATTGTGAGTCCATGTTTTAATGACAAATCATAACAAATCAAACACAAATTATCTGTAGATACAAATGCTTAATTTTCTTTTTCTTTTTTAACCTGTCTTATAATATAATATACAATTATAATTTTAACTGAAAGTTAAAGGATAAAATGAATGTAAAAATTAATTCTCACAAGCTTGTTATTATTCCATAAAAAATATTGACAATCAACCTTTTTTTTAAAATAATGATAACCAACCTTTTTTAAAAAATATTAATAACCAACCTTTTTTGAAAAATATTTATAACCAACCTTTTTTTATTGTAAAGTATTGATAGCCAATTATTTTTAGAAATGAAAATGTTTGATGAAAGTTTTCTTGCTTTAAAGATGATTTATGACCAAAAAGGGGTCAGGATAATTTTATAACTTATTTTTAATTTAACAGCTTTTTTTAACTTAATTGCAAATTTTCTATTGCATTTTTTTAATTTAACAAATTTTAGAATGTAATTCAGTCCAGGCCTCAAAACCTTTTACTTGCAAGTAAACACATATCTCTTGATGATTTGTGGGATAAGTGGCTAAAAAACGAAGGTTTTTTTTTTTTAATTATTTTTATGATTTTTTATTCTTAACAGCTTTTTTTTTAATATTCATTTTAATATTTTTAATTTTTCAGCTTATAATTGGAATAATGGCCAGTTAATTCAATGGCTCACAAAAACTGTTGGACTGCCGCAGTATCAAGATATCTTTCACTCATTGAAGGCTACTGGTAAATACATACCAAGGTAATGGAGTAAAACTAATTGTTATTATTGGTTTTTTTTTCTCATTCTTTTTAAAATCAAGTTTGTATACATTTAGGTTAACTGATGAAGATTTCTTAAAAAATATTAGTATATCTGTCCCATCGCATCGAAGCATTTTGGCTAAAAGTTCAGCTGATATTTTATTGTTTGGGTTATCTAGTAAGTTTTATATTTAAAAAATTATATATTTTTTTCACTTTCACAATCTAAGTATACATTTTTTTAAACATTCAAACAATTGTCAGACCAATTATAACACATATTCAAATAAATAATCAAATCAAATAATAAATTCAAATAATAAATTAAATCTAGCTCAATTTAGTTATAAATTATTCAAACCGATTCTAACAATCAAATTTAATTAGGTATATTGGACAAGAACTTTCTTGCAATCAAAGCTGTTCATGAGCAATTAGACGATGATAAAGATGGTGAGATTGATTTAGAAGAATCTTCTGAGGTGCATTTAAATAGATTTAGTTTTTAAACATGTGTAAACAACAAAATAAAGTTTAAAATAAATAAAGCTTGTAAAAGTTTAACAATGGTTATGAATATATTCAATGAAAGTTTATACTCATAAGTTCTTAAAAATTACTAATGTAATCTAAATTACTAATGTACTTCTAAACTCATTAAAATTTTAGGTCAATACTTGAAAATTCAATAAAATTTATACATACATACATGCATACATACATACATACATACATACATACATGCATACATACATACATACATACATACATACATACATACATACATAAATACATACATACATACATACATACATACATACATACATACATACATACATACATACATACATACATACATACATACATACATAGATATATATATATATATATATATATATATATATATATATATATATATATATATATATATATATATATATATATATATATATATATATATATATATATATATATATATATATATATATATATATATATATATATATATATATATATATATATATATATATATATATATATTATAAGCATTAAAACATCATATACATTTTTCATACTATTTATTTCTTTTTTTAAGTAATATTTCGGCTCATATAGAGCCATTATCAAACTAATAAAACTGTTAAAAAATTATCAAACTTATAAAATTATCAAACTAATAAAACCGTTTTTTTTTAACACTTTTATTAGCTTGATAATGGCTCTTACTATATGAGCCAAAATATTACTTAAAAAAAGAAAAAAATAGTATGATACCATATATGATGTTTTAATGCTTATTATATTATATATATATATATATATTAATATTGAGTTACATGTGCTATATATATATATATATATATATATATATATATATATATATATATATATATATATATATATATATATATATATATATATATATATATATATATATATATATATATATATATATATATAAATATATATATATATATATATATATATATATATATATATATATATATATATATATATATATATATATATATATATATATATATATATAGCACATGTAACTCAATTTTTTCCTTGGATTCAAAGTCTTATATTTCAATTTTTTCTGTCTACAGACTGTAGGAAAACAGCTACATTAAGCAAAAACTTTGATTTTGTGACCATAGCATAAAGATTTCCTTTTTTTTTTTTGAGACAGAACAAGAAAAATATAATTAAGTAGACAAAAACAGTATTATATCACATAGATCTTCTAGATTTGCAAGTGTACTGTAATTTACTTTCACAAAATAGCCCTCTAATGTATTATCCTCATTGTGTGTTTGTTATAGTGTCCTTGATATTAAGGTTAAAAGACTAACACATCTTGGTGAAAATTCTTGTCTTGCTCATCTAAGTAAGCTCTCGTGTTCTCTTGATTTTATTGATATATATATATATATATATATATATTATATATATATATATACATATATATATATATATCTCAAGTGTCAAGGACTTTGAGTCAAAGTCCATAGCCTATCATTATCAATAAAATGTTTCATTTGTTCTTCATTTCCACCTTCAAATAATTTATAGGAATTTGAGCAGTACTAATTAGTAAGGAATTAGTAGCACTTTAATGGTTCTGATTTTGTGGTCATTAATGTTGAAGTTGCAGCCAAACATTTATTCTCTTTACACTGGCTTAAATTTTCGTATTTTTCATTAAAAGTTATAAGTTTTTAAAAAAAGGCAACTATAAAAAAGAAATTATATTCAAGTATATATTAATAATTTATCAATTCATAAAAAAATAATTGCACATCGTATCTCTGTAGCAGTCACAAAATTAGTTTCACATTGCACTTCTGTACCAGTCATAAAGCAATTAAATCAAAGTTATTTTTGTTTTTTATTTTTAAAGTTTTTTGTTTTTAAAGAATTATTTTTAAAAAAAATAATTATTTTTTCAAATTAATATTAAAAGTATTTTAATGAATTTAAAAGTTTTAAAAAAAACACTTTTAATTTCATTTTTAAAATGAATTTTAAAGTTTAAAAAAAAAAACACTTTTTCATTTTTAAAATAAATTTAAAAGTTTTTTAAAAAAAAAAAACTTTTAATTTCATTTTTAAAATAAATTTAAAAGTTTTTAAAAAAAAACAACTTTTAATTTCATTTTTAAAATGAATATAATAGTTGTTTTAATGTTAATAGAAACCAGTTTTGTTGTTATACAATGTCGCAGGATTTAATTTGAATTAAGTTATGTAACATTTTTGCTTTTACGGTTACAGAAGCTAAGTTTTTGTGGAACAGCAGCTACTTTTTAATTGTGTTTGGCAAAATGGGTTAGCAAAACTTTCAACTCAAGGACAAACTTCAAGAACAAACTTCAAGGACAAACTTCAAAAAACAAAAATAAAAGTTGGTTACATAGTATAATTTATAGATTAAAATTTTATTAGTTAAAATTTTAGTTTATGGAGGAAGAATTGAATACCCCACGTTCAAAGCGACCATCTTCTCTTCACCAAACTGATAACCATATTTCAGTTGAAGAATTGTGGGTAACATGGCAGAAAAGTGAAGGTATATATATATGTATATATAATCACACTGTCGCATTTTATATGCTTGCAACTAGTTTGAGGATTTTTTACAATAAATCATTTTATATATTTTTATGTTTATTTTTTTTTTAAATAAATTAAGTGTCCATATTTATATGCTCATCAAATATATTTGTAAGTTTTTATTTAATGACCAGTCGATTCTGAGTTAAAGAGTTAAGAGAACTGCAATGTAGCATCCTCTATTGAAGCGGTCTTCTAACCATAATAAAGTATCCTCTACTGTAGTGGTCTTCTTGACCTTGGGGAGGTGAATAACATTAAAAAATATATGTATATATCATGTCTTCCCTGATAATATTGTCAAGTGAAAATTTTTTTATTAAAAATCTTTAACAAAATATGCAGCTAATGTTCACAGTAAAAAATCAATAATAATTTAAAGAAAAAGTTGCTTGATTACGTTAAAAATTTATCTGATTGAATAACTTGCCAACATAATACATTAGACATTATTTTTTTTATATATTATATTATATATTTGTATTAAATGACATTGTGGACCAGTTTTCTTAAAATTTGCATTCACTTCAATAAAAAATGCATACTTATAAGTTCAAATTTTGGCTTTTTTTATTATGACCTTTTTAATGTTTAACCAATTATGATTTTAGTTATAAACTTTTTTTACCATAAACAATAAATTATTAAAAAAAAAATTGTTATCATTCTAATAGATTGTTATAGTTATAGCATTAAAATAAATAACAAAAAAATATTAAATAATAGTTATAAATATAAATACTTTTTTAATTTTTTTAGTTTATAATTGGACAACAGATGATGTTGTAAAATGGTTAAATGCTGTTGTTGGTCTTCCAAAATACGAGAAAGCATTTCGTGAAAAGAATATCAGTGGCAAAGATATACCTAGGTACTTCTCACTTCTTGATGCCTCTTCAGCTCCAGCAGTTGTTAAACTGTATCTATCCATCTTTATTTTAGTCTCTTTGACTTCACAGTGTTCTTAATATTGTATTAAGAGCACTGTGTATACCACTGAATCTTTTGTGAATCCTTTTATAGACTCTAATCTCTTTTAACTTGTTTATTATTTAACTACATTCATTGACATTTTACATTAAAATTTGTATTTATATTATTATTGTAGATTTCATTATTGCTGTTAATTTTAATGATCTTTCAACACAATTACTATATATTTACTTATACTATAAATATCTGTGTTATTTATCAATGAGTTCTTCAAGCAATTTGTAATTGTTCTACAATTACAAATTGCTTGAATTTTGCAATTTTTGTTCCAAATTTTTTCAGCTTTTATACTAAAATAAAAATCACTAAATCTTCACTTTTATTGATTTTTCATATTATAGTTATTGTTTTAATTCTAATATAAAATTTTTATTTCACTTTTCTTGAGCCCCTCCCTAAACCCCCTCCCTACCGCCTGCCAATTAAAAGACCCTTTGTAATCTTTTCCACCTTTCATAATTGTTTTAAATCCAAAAAGATTGGATCAATTTTTATATCAAAAAAATTTGTTTTGTTATCAAGTTTATTTTTTTATTTTGAAACAATATTTTATTTAAGGTTAACTACAGAAAAGTTTCTTGTTAATGATATTGGTGTATTAGATACCATACATAGAAAAAAAATTGTTCTTCGATCTTCAGACATCATTTTATTTGGCATCCCTGATGGTAAGGTTCCAGTTTTTCAGATCTTTTTAGAATTATTCTTTTAAATGAGAAATTTATAAAGAGTAGGAAATTTTATTCCTTTTTGCATTATCTCTTGCAATCATTAAGTGATTTTATTTATAGGTGGTTTTTAATATGACTTGTTCTTACTTTTAAATTATCGTATTGAGTACTTGTATATTTAAAAAAAATGCAATGTTTTTATATATACAGTTTAAAAAATTTTTGTATTAACTTATTTTATAGAAATCCCTGTGAGCTATTTTAAAGACATTTTTGTTTTAAGCGTTATTTTTTTTGCTTCATTGTTTTGTTTGTATGCTTTTCGAGAAAAAAAACGAACGCAAAATCAAATAGAACAAATGACAAAAGATCTTGAATATTTGCAACTTGCAGAAGATAATTTAAAAAATATGCAAAATATGTAAGAGATCTGTTTCTAAACCTTTATTTAACTCATTGTTGCACCTGCAATAACATATCAATAATTGCACCTGTCAATAAGCTATTCCTTTACTGTACATACTGATTTTTGACTGTAACTTTTTTTTTTACTGTAACTTGTTAACTTTTTTTTTTTACTGAACATGTTAACTTTTACTTGATAAATTTTTTTTTACATGTTATTAGTTAACCTTTATTTACTGTTTAATAGCTTTTTGTCATCTTTTATTTGCTATCAGCATTTTTACTTATCTGTAAATCTTTTTTTGCTTGCCTAGGTTTGTCAAGAAAAGATCAATTCTTATTTTTTCTCTAGTCTTATGTTGTGCTGTCTATATTACAAATTTTATTTCTAAATTGATTTTTATAATGCACTTTTATGTTTGATTTTTTTTTAGATTAGGGGCTTCAGAATCCAATGTAAATGATAATTATTACAGAGAAAGTCAGCTTATTGAAGAAATAGAAACTGCAAGGGTATATATATTTTTTTGAATTCCAGGGTATTCTAGTTGTTATAGGTTGAGTGTTTACTGTTTTATGGGTGCAGGAAATGTTTTTATTTATTGTGGCAAAGGTGTTTAATGAGAGCGATAGATTTTAATAAATTTTCACCAACTTTTACATCTTTTTCTACTAATAAATTGTTTCTTGTCTTTACTTAAATTACTTTAAATCAAAGATTTTTTAAAAATGTATCTTTTATTTCTAGTACTAACTTTTTCTCTTTTTTTGCCTTTAAATTGGGATTCTAAATAAGAAGCCTATTTAGGGGTACAGAGTGCATCTGCTCCTTGACCTTATCTACAACTATCTTGATCTACTTTTCTTGATATACCTTTGTTTACATTGTAAGGTATTATTATTTAAAAACGTTGACAAGTTGTTATTTAAAAACGTTGACAAGCTGTTACTTAAAAAAGTTGACAAGCTGTTATTTAAAAACGTCAACAACCTGTTGTTGAAATGTAAGAAAAAAATTATTATGATCTTTAAAATATAATTTTTTTTTTTAATTTAGAAAGAAGCTGAACTTTTACGTGTTGAAAAATATGGTAAAAATGAAGAAGATAAAATAAAATTGTCTATGATTGAACAAGAGCTTTCTGATGTTCGATTGCAATTGATCAATGCACAAAAGCAACTTGGTAGTGCACAAATCAAGTCGCCTAAAATGTTGCAAAAATATTTGGTAATGACATACAAGAAAGAAACAAAGCATTTTCTACAAAGAAAACAAATGGCGCTTAATCAAATGAAAGAAGCTAAAGAAGCAGTAGGGATATTTTTAAACTTTTAATTTTTTTTTTTTTTTTTGGTATTGTTAAAGAAAAAGATGGTAGTTAAATAATTTTAAAGCGTTTATAGGAATATAGTTATAACTTTTCATTAAATAATTGCTATAAAGTTTCTTCAGAGTAGTACTTTCATGCACAATATCTTCCCATAACCCAACTAGTTATGTCTAAATAAATTTTTGTGTGAGTATTACATCTGCTCGCTTTGTTGTTCTGAGTGGTACTTCTGCTACTAAATTTTTGATACAAAATTTGTAAAACTTTCAATGTGTTATTGTATCAACTTTCAATGTGTTATTGTATCAACTTTCAGTGTGTTATTGTATCAACTTTCAATGTGTTATTGTATCAACTTTCAATGTGTTATTGTATCAACTTTCAATGTGTTATTGTATTAACTTTCAATGTGTTATTGTATCAACTTTCAATGTGTTATTGTATCAACTTTCAATGTGTTATTGTATCAACTTTCAATGTGTTATTGTATCAACTTTCAATGTGTTATTGTATCAACTTTCAATGTGTTATTGTATCAACTTTCAATGTGTTATTGTATCAACTTTCAATGTGTTATTGTATCAACTTTCAATGTGTTATTGTGTCAACTTTCAATGTGTTATTGTATCAACTTTTGCTCTAATTGTCATATTACCAATTAGCTGATAAATAAACTTTTCATAGCTTCATATAATTCTCAACTAATACATCATTCTTTTAGCTAAAGATAAGGAATAATTTGTTCAGAAGTATTCATTGCTTGCTTAAATACATCGAATAAGATGGTTTCTCAGAATTTTTTCTACCACAAATTTCACTATTTCCAGACTAGAACTTGTTTCTACACTCTGAAGCGTCTTCGTCTAATGCAACAATGAAAGTGGTTAATTAAAAATGATACCAGCACCATGTGCAAGAATTTTGTGAATTGAAGTATAAATACTATAAGAATCTAAGAAAATTTTGTATGTTTCGTTACAATAGTTTGCAAACTTAGTAGGATCACTAGATTTATTGCAATTAATTGTAATAAGAATGTTGCTAAATCTTATGAAATTTTTATCTATATCAAGACCTTCACTTAACAATGCTGGATTTGAAAGTGTCTATTGTAAGAGACATTGCTTGTTGTGCTTGTTCCTTCTTCTTCAGATCTTGGCATATTAACCTTGAGTCCAAATGTGTCATACATTTTTTTTTAATCAACATTTTTCTTTCAATATACTTACCCATAAACTTTTTAGTTACTCTCCCAATTTTGATTTCAAATCTATAAAATACATGTAATAGACATTAAAAAAATCAGATCCAAGCATAAAGCGGTAACATTTTAAAGTGCCTTCAAAAGGTTTAAACCTGTTTGAATTTCTAATGTCACTTATTTCATTTGGCTTGGTCTTTGCAGATTAAACAATTCTGTATGGATTTTGTTTTATTGATGTAAGCCAAGACTCTCCAATCAATCATGGTCATTACAAAATCAAAAATCCACTAAAACCAAATTTTCGTTTGGTAGTTCTATTAGAAGTGGTCTCAACTTATCCATTTCTGCTTCTGTTTCTGCTTTTAATCTTAAAACCGTTTCTTTTGACTTTTACATTATCTAACCTCACTTGACAACAGAATATCTTTGAGGTGATTTAAACAATGCATTTTGTTTTTATTTATATAAGATAATAGCCTGAGTAGAGTTGTATCATTTGCCAATAAATCAGTATTTCTGTAATTAGCATTATTAATCTTCTGATTATATTGTGCCTGTCCCGATGTTCCATCCATTTGTTGTTTGTGATGTTGGTTTGTTTCTATGTGCTTCAAAATTTTATTTTCATTAATTTTTAAAATTCTATCAGCTGTATGTTTCATCAGTGCAATTTTACTCTAACAAAAGAATCACTAATTAAAATAGCTTCTGGATCAGCATTCAGCTTTCATTTTCTGAATCAAACGGTATGGTGGGTATCTTGGTTTATTACTAGTTACACTAGAAGTTTGAATAAATTTTCCCATTTTGAGTGCTGAGCCATCGAGTGAATCTTTTTCGCGAAACTCAAATCTATTCTTGGTTCTGCCATGCCTCACTTAGCTCTCTAATTCCATTCCAAATATTTTAAGTTGCTGATTAAAGTCTCCTCTGTATTTTCTTTCAAACTAGCTTTGGTTCTAATATGTTTGATTTCAGTTTTAGCATTAGTATTATTTTCAGAATTATTATTATTTCTGTCAAAGTAAGCAATAATTTTTCGTTTTGTTGGATTATATGAGTTAGCCATTTCAAGGTAATACTTTCCAGTTATAATTTTAAAATAAAATGGAAATTTCATGTTAGGCAAATTCATATGAAGATGAAATACCTAATATCCTAATAATCATTTAGTGCATTAAAAGTTTGGGGCAGCCAGTTATTTTTACAGTTAATTAAAAACATATTGAACTTTGATTTTTTGCAAAATAGAGGAGATGTTTTGAACGGGTTTTTTTTCGGCAATATTGAAGTTAACTTTCAATGATTTTGTAACAATTTTTTTTTTTTAAAATGGCTGATTATCAAATTTTAAAAGGTTAAATAAAATTGTTTTTATTGTCATTGAAAATTAGATTTGATTAGCTTTCAAACAATATATAATAACCTACTGTTCATTTGAATGTATCACTTCAGCAGAATGTAATTTAAAAACACCTTCAATGAGACAAAACCGATATTTTTATCTAAATATGTAACTTTGAATACCGATATTTTTGGAACTTCAAATCAAATAAGACAAATATTTTGGGATTTTTTTATCTATAGTGTCAGCTTTTAATCTGCCTTGTTTCATCCAAATTGAAGCCCATTTTTTTATGATTTTGGCCACCCTGCTTTCCACTGTGCAATAGTTTATTTTTTTTTAAATTTTAAATTAGTTAAATTATTTAAAACATTTTTCAAGTAATTATTGGTTTTTATTTGCTCTCGAGTTACAGTTACTCTAATGTAACCGTATCATAAAGTTCCGTTTATAGTTAAAGTTACTCTAATTTATAATGAAGTTACATCTTATTTACTTATGTTTTTCATATTTTGTTGCTAGTTTTGTAATTATTTTATATTTTTTATTTAAATATATGTATTTTATTTTTTTAGTGCGCCAAAGTTTCCAAATCTCGGCGCTCTATGCTTGGCGTATTTCGCTTAGCGCACAGCGAATCTATTGATGACGTCGATGAAAAGATTGTCACAGCTAGGTAATAGTGTTTTTCATTTATCCAAGCTTTGTTTGGACTTAAAGATGTTAGTTGAAAAAAATGATAGTTTTTCATTTCATCCAAAAATACTTTGTTTTGACTTATTGAAATTCAATAAAAATAGCAAACGGGTTTGTGATATCTTTAAAAAAAAAAAAGTAACTTGATGTTTGGTCCATTATGAATGGTGTAAATTTAAAGTTTATTTAAGACGTAAATTTAAAGCATTTGAGTGTTTTAAATTTACGTCTTAAATACTTTAAATATGCGTCTTAATAAAAAAGTCTAAAGCCTTTTATTTAAGACGCTTTTTTGAACATTTTTACGTTAAATTTTTTTTTATTAAATAATAAGCCCTTGAATGCTTTTTTTATACTTATCTTTATTAAAAAAACTTATGTTTTTCTTTTTTCTTTTTCTTTTTTTTCTTTTAAAAAAAAAAAACTAAATTCCTAATGTCGTAAAATATAAATGCGAAAACAAAATTTATTCGTTTAATCTAATCTAATCACTAAATGATCAAAATAGCGGTACCAAATGTTGGTACATTTGGTAACAGTCCTGTGATGAACTTTTAACTTTAAGTGTTTTTTATATAATCAAGATACTACTTTATTTAATTTTGTCTAGAGCTTCTTTGGCGGAAGTCACAAATGATCTCCAAGAGCGCCAACACCGTTGGAAGCAGATTGAATCTTTATTAAGTTTCGAAATAGTAAGTGGTATATTATTAAACTATTCCAACGAGTATGCTGAAAGAAAATATTCTGTTGAGCGTGCACTTGCTGATGCTACAGTTGTCGCAACCATGTCTGATTGTTCTGCCAAAGTTAGTAGAGATTCGGAGGACGATATAGAAATAGAGCAAATTAACTCTTGTAAAATGTCGGAACCCACTGCTGAATTTTATATTCCAAATGACCAATATATACCTAATAGATCCGATGTACAAAAAGTTTATCCAATATATGCAAAATCTACAAGTGGCAATTCACAAAATTCAATAGAAAATGAATTTAAATTTAGAGAATCAGAAAACGAGTCACCTAACTCACAGTTTAAGCGTAAAGGTTCTATTTCAAATAGTGAGCGATCATTTTTCACCGAATCTTCTGATAACGATTTAAATAAGCAGAAAAAAGAATACTTTTCTCGAGGAAACATGTCATCTAAAAGCGAATCTATTAGTAGCATATCTTCCGATGCTACGATGAATCATAATGGAAAGACTATTTTTCGAGTAAACACAGAATCCAGTGCACTCGATGAAAGGTTGCTAAACATTACGCCGAATCTAGAAAAACGTTCAAAGAGTTTTACGGATATCCAAAAAGACTCTTCACATTGTTTTACAATGAATGAGCAATTGAACAATAGTTCTGGCTCATTGAGTCTCTCGACTTCCGAAATTAAAAAGAAAAAAGGTTTTACTAAGTTATTTCGAAGTTTTAAAAAATAATTTGTTTATGAAATAGGTTTTTTCTGAAATTGATTTGGATTTTTTTATTACGATTATCTTTTTTTGACGAAAATATGCGATAATTATTTTTTAGAATATATATAATTAAAAAAAGTTTCTTTCTGGAAAATACATAACTTGGTAAATCAGGGATGTGGACATTGACGATGAATGTATACTCAAGGATGTGGACATTGACGATGAATGTATACTTAAGGGATGTGCACTTTGATGATGGATGTATACTCAAGGGATGTGGATATTGACAGCCTTGGCTATTGGCTGCCTTCCAATAAATATTTAGCGGCAAAATGTTCTTTCTTCCGCCTCCAGCGGTTTCCGCCTTTCTATTGGCCAGAGTATTTTTTTGGAGACAAAATGTTTTGGAGACCGAAACCAATAGGGAGGCGGAAGCCGTAAATCTAATATCTTCCTTTGAATATTGAACATATATTGAAAATATTCAAAGGAAGATTGAATATTAAAAATTGAATAACTTTGTGACGTAATATCTTCCTTTATATAAATTTTTTCTCGTTCGAACTTAGTATATATCAATCAGATGCATTATGTTTGATTCCGGTTGATTTGATTGGTTGACAGATAGATTTTTAAATTAAGGGCTTATTTTAAATTTAATCACAAAATATTTAAAATATGCTTAAAACACTAAGTTATTTGACTTAACATGGGAACAAATTTCTTTGTAAATAAAAAAAATTGAACAGGAATTTTAAAACTCCTATCTGTTATCCGAATTTCCTAAGTATACTGAGTATACCCTAAAAATTTCAGTCAAAAATCATTAGCCAGTGTATTATATATACATTAGCTAATGTATAAGATATTACGTTTCAAAGTTACCCTAGTATTACAAAAATCAAAATTTGTAAAAAATACATTTAAAGTTTTTTCAAGTAAAATCATGTTTAATGTCCGCCAAAAGCATATTATTTTTATTGGACATTAATTTATCTCTGAACTCTTTGGCTACTGACCTCAACTTTTTCATTGTTTTATACACTGTCGCTTTATTTGCTTTACACAAGATTAGTCAAATTGAATAGATGTTATGACTGTTATATACCCAGTCAAAGTTTAAAACACACAAAATACCTTTAATTAAATTATTAAAACAAATAACAGCAGAGTACGTTCTTTTTTCAACTGTTTTTTAACTAAAAAAATTTGTTCTGTTGACTAGCGTATATAAATTTTTTTTTATAAACGTTTGACTAGTGTATATTAATACTTTTTTATTTTTCATTCTCATTTAATATTTTTATCTTTAAAAAAAACATGTCTTCACAAGTATTAACAATGAAAAGCGGCGTTGACGTTATATGAGGATATTTTTTTAATAATATAGTGAAACTATTATTAAAGCTGTTTTATCATTTATTTATTAATTACCAAAGAATTATACAACTTAAAGTCTGATTTTTAAAAGTCTAGTTAACAGATTATTACTCTTAAAAGACTTTTTAGTTTTAGAAAAAAACGTCATAAAAATCACAGAGTGGCTCTTTCATTGACAAGATGTTATGAAAGAGCTGATTTCTCTATTTTTTTAAAATAGGTGTATGACAGAATATATATATATTTTTTTAAAGTTAAATTACACGAAGCAGGCGTGGTCCGTAAGCCCATCAACAGCTAGCCGTGCTAGCTTGTGCGAGATTGCACGGAAGATGATGCGCTGTAGTAATTATTAAAGCTGATCGAATTTTGCTTTGAAACGATCGACACTGGTAGCACTGACTACTACGTTAAGTAATGCGTTCCATGGGTGGGCGACGCGGTTGTTGAAGGAATTATAGCGAACGAGGCAGTTGTTGCCCATTTCACGATGAAAGCGCTTGCGATGACCGTAGCTAGGTGGGATGTTAGGTGGATCTATATGCCAGCTAATTGAGTCGATACTGTTTGCGAATTTATATTTTTGAATGAGGTCACCGCGTAAACGTCTATTTAATAGAGAGGTGAGACCGAGTTTGATGCATCTTGTCTCGTAATCGAAGCGCCTTATTTCGTGCGGTACTTTGGTAACCCAATGCTGAACACATTCTATGACATTTATGTCTTTTTCAAGATGCGGGCACCAGGCAGTAACTGCAAACTCGAGATGTGGGCGTATATAAGTGGTGTAAATTTTTTTCCATATTTTGGTTTCTCTGCTTATAAACGTGTTTTTCAATGTCCCGAGGACTTTATTAGCCTTGGCAGCGGCTATTTGTGCTTGCCTCTCATATTTTAAGTCGTTGGAAATTTGAATGCCTAAATCTTTTTCGGATGTTGAAGACTCGATTAGTGTTCTAGTGACGCTACCGTTAGCGTCGTACTCGTTCATTAAATAAAAGTGAAGTCAAGAAAAAGAACATCTACTGGAAGCTTGCGAGAAACGTTGTAGGTCAGAAAGTCTATGGCCTCAAGCAGATTCGTGACGCAGACTTTTTTATTGACAAAGCCGTGCTGGCAATCGGCAATAAGTTTATGAGCTACAAGGTGCTGCATGATCTTTTCTTTAACAATTTTCCCATTATTTTGCATGGTACTGAGGTGATGGAGATAGGCCTTTTGGGACTACACCTTGATCCATCGGATTCTGAAAAATGATGGCAAGCGGGGTAGCCGCCGCATCAGTGCATGCTTTAAGCACAAATGGACTGATACCGTCACCTCCAGTTGATTTATTGGCGTTGAGAGCAGATAGGTGTTTGTGAACGGAAACATAGCTGAAGATGACGGAGGAGATTAAAGCGGTTGTACGTTTAACAAAGGGAGGTAGTTGTTGATCTGATGGTTCGATTGTGAATACTGACTGGAACTGGCTGTTAAGTATATTGGCTACGGATGCGTGGATGCGTGGTCGCTACTTATTTCCCCAGCGGGTGAGCACATAGAAGTTATCTGGTTACTGACGGCACGTTTGTCGTTTACATAAGCGTATAGACGCTTAGGGTTCCATTTGTCGCTAGCTAATTTGTGTTCAAATGCTCTAATTGCAGTACAGAAAACTTTTTTGACAAGGTTTCGAGTTTGGTTATACTCTTTGGCAAGAGGAATGATTCGTCATTTGCTGTTGCGGTTGAGGTACCAAAGTTTTTTCTTACGTTTAATTAGTAATCGTTCGGTTGTTTCGGTAATTACAAGGTCTAATGTATTTTTGAACAGACCGTTGGCTTGGATGAAGGTGGGACTGATAACGTGCTGGTATAGATGTAGGTCAAAAATGATTTCGGCAAATTTAGTGCCAAAACTAGTTTCAGCGCCGGTGGTATTGGTCCAGTCGTCGTGCCATATGACGTCGGGAAAGTTGAAGTCACCGGTGATTATTAGACCATTAAACTTTTAGTTTTCTACGACCGATTTCGCGTAGGAGATAGCTTTTACTATTTCGGTAAAGGCCAGAACATTATTGGTAGGTGGGCGATAGATGCAGCCGATTAGGAAAGATTCTTGTGGGAGTTTAAGTTCGAGCCAGATCTGTTCTGAGAAATTGCATCGGAAACCGATGTGAAGTTGAGAGTAGTCAATTTCGTTGGTAGTAATGCTGTTCTTGACATATATGGCTACTCCTCCTCCACGACTAGAGCAATCTTTTCTAAAGAGATTGTAGTTGGAAATAGCTGGTGCTGAGGATTCGTCAAACCATGTTTCAGTGATAAAAATGGTGTCATAATCATAGAGGGACGTTGCTAATTCAAGTTCGGTGAGTTTATTAGGATTTAGAGATGTGGCGTTTGCATAGAAGCAGTTTAGTAACAATTAAGAAGCATTGCTTTGTGAAGTGGGAGAAGACAAATTATTAATTATATGGAAACGGTCATGAGTTGAATGTTGCGACTTCTCATTGGTTGGTTTGGGCCGCCGCGAGCGCTCCTTTCCAGTTGATGAACGGGTGTTTTTCTAAGCCATTGATGTTGACTTTTTTGCTAACGTCAATGCATTTGACTCGGATGTTAAAATTTTGTTTTGTCGCTGCGGATGACAAAACGAAAGGGCTGATCAAGTTTACCGTTTGCTTTAAAGCCATTGTTGAGCTTAAACTTTTCGTTGTTCAACTTCTTAAAAAGATCTTGCTCTGAAGGAGTTCTGTCTGGCCGTATGAAGACACTTTTGTATGATTCATTGGTGGCAAGGTTTTTTGCGATTGCTAGAAGACCGTTGCGAGTTTCATTAGTTGCGAATTCGATAATTAGAGACGGTGGAGCTGATTGAGTGGGGGAAGTGACAGTAGAAGAAGTAGATATGCTAGTGTTTGGCGGCGATTTGTTATTTTTGTTAGAAATAGCGGCAGGAATGCGTCCTACAACTTTGAAGGAAGCAGAGTAATGTATGTATTGTAATATATCCTTTACCGATTGATCGACGACGGAAGCATCGGTACTGGCTGCGTTGGGAATTCCGGTGATTATGGCTCTCTTAGCTTTTGACTGTTGAAGCTTGGCGTTTATGTTCACGGCATTTAAGATGGCATTGTTTGTGGCTGATCCGGGTTTGGTAAGTTGCGAAGCAAAAAATTTTAGGATTGGTTGAGAAACGGAAGGATAAACTGCCGGTGGTTGGCAGTTAGTAAGTTGAATTTGCAAGTTGGTGTTGGTTTTTTCGAGGGCTGCTACTTTTTCAAGAAGTAATTTGACAGTTGTAGCTAGAGAGTGGATCATGGCGTCACAAAAATTCAAAGAGAAACTAAATCATTATTTTATTTCTGACAAAAGTAATTAAGAAAGTACTTAATGGTTACTTCTTGCCACAAATGACTTCTTGTTTACTTAAGGTTAATGGTTACTTTTTGCCACAAATGACCGATTAATATATATTATTGACCGACTTAAGTAGAATTCGTTTTTTTAATTAATCAGTTTCACTCCCAACAAAACTGTGCAAGCAGCCATTATTAAGTTCGCTGTTACTAGAAGAAAGAGAATGTTTTTAAAGAGTAAGGAAACGGTTGAAAGAAGACTTAAAAAGTTTTAGGATGTATAAGTGAGGAAAATATAAAGATGGAAAGATTTCCTAAAGGTTAAAATCCGGAGAAAAAAACTAGACAAATAAACATCTTTGATTGATG